TACTTGAGGACTGTGCAGAGACCTAATTAGTTTTTGGGTAAATATTTGTGCATATTAATCACCTTATTAGCATAATTAGTTAATTTTCAGCTTTTCACCTGTTATCTCAAGTACTGATCATCACATTTCAACGAGACTTGCGACATAGATCTTCTAGGACTATGCAGAGACCTGATTAATTTTGGGGTAAATAATTGTGCATATTAATCACCTAATTTGCATAATTAGTAAAATTTTTGCTGTTCCATGGCTGTTGCACTGATGTCTAAAGAACCACTCATTGGATTTTAATGACACTTTTAAAGAGTACTCATCATATTTCAATGAACCTAGGACTATACACCATATTAGTTATTGGTAAATATTTATGCTTCTTAATCACCTAATTAACATAATTAATTGATACTGGTATCTCAAGTACTGATCATCACATTTGAATTAAATTTGGCACATAAATGTTCTAGCACAATAGACAGCTTGATTAATTTTGGGTTAAAAACTGTTCATATTAATTCTCAAATTAGCATAATAATTAATAATTTTTTGGTTCTAATCACATTTCAATGAAACTTAGTACATAGATATTATATTACGCAAATCTTATTACTTTTACATTGTGCAGACCTTATTAGTTTTACACTTAAATCTGTTCATATTAGTTACCATATTTTTATAAGCTTTTCCATCAATATCTCAAGTTCAAGTAATTTTGAATTAATTTTTAATGTGTCTCCAATACTCTCAGCACACGGGAGTTCTTTCTAAGCTTTCTTTGACAATCAGATACAAATGTCAATCATTTAAATGATATATATAAACCTATTCCTAAACAAAACTATATATCTTAAATTTGATAACTAACGGGGACTGTGCCATGCATGGCTTGTTTTTTTAAACTCTGCTGTATAAAATCAGTTTGCAACATACTTGTTTAGATGTTATTTATTGTTCATATGCTATTGCATTGAATTATACTTGTCTGAAAATTGACAATAAAGATAGTGTTTTGTTTCTACAATTGTTAAATTATATTTGTTTTCATTATCATCTGACCAGATGGTGGCCATTTTTACCCCCAAAAAAAACAATGTTGTCAACAGTTTTTTGAGGTGTGTCTGGTCTGGTTTAAATCTTGGTAGCCATATTCATTTGATTTGATGTCCTTAATGTCTGTGTATCATTATTAATTATATCTGGGCCAACCTTGCCATGTTTGGAACCCCACTTCTCGCCTAGTTGATTTTATACCCTTGCTGAAATGAACAAACAGAAATGATGTATCTTGTCAGTTACAAACCAATATTGTCTCCACAGTCTGCAAACCTTGGTGAAGATGAGTAAGAATGCTGGTCAACTATTAAAGCCCCATATCAGTCAATTAGTGATTGCTTTATTGGAATCATTGAGTGAGTTAGAACCACAGGTTATGAACTATCTGGCATTACATGTCAGTAACTATAAAGAAACACAAGAAAAGGTAAGCTTTATCTTTCAATCCATACCATAATAACCTCCACACACACACACATGCATCCATGCACACACACACACACACATGCATCCATGCACACACACACACACACACACACACGCACACACACACACACACGCACACGCACGCACACACACACACACACACACACGCACACGCACGCACACGCACACGCAGCACACGCACACACACACGCACACACACACACACACACACACACACATAAAATTCCTATGGTGACACTGCTACAGTCTCCATATTCTATGGTGACACTGCTATGTACTCCATATTCTATGGTGACACTGCTATGTACTCCATATTCTATGGTGACACTGCTATGTACTCCATATTCTATGGTGACACTGCTATGTACTCCATATTCTATGGTGACACTGCTATGTACTCCATATTCTATGGTGACACTGCTATGTACTCCATATTCTATGGTGACACTGCTACACTCTATATTCTATGGTGACACTGCTACACTATATTCTATGGTGACACTGCTACACTCCATATTCTATGGTGACACTGCTACACTCCATATTCTATGGTGACACTGCTACACTCCATATTCTATGGTGACACTGCTACACTCTATATTCTATGGTGACACTGCTACACTCCATATTCTATGGTGACACTGCTACACTCTATATTCTATGGTGACACTGCTACACTCCATATTCTATGGTGACACTGCTACATTCCATATTCTATGGTGACACTGCTACACTCCATATTCTATGGTGACACTGCTACACTCCATATTCTATGGTGACACTGCTACACTCTATATTCTATGGTGACACTGCTACACTCTCCATATTCTTTGGTGACACTGCTATGTACTCCATATTCTATGGTGACACTGCTACACTCCATATTCTATGGTGACACTGCTACACTCTCCATATTCTATGGTGACACTGCTACACTCTCCATATTCTATGGTGACACTGCTACACTCTCCATATTCTATGGTGACACTGCTACACTCTCCATATTCTATGGTGACACTGCTAGTCTCCATATTCTATGGTGACACTGCTACACACTCCATATTCTATGGTGACACTGCTACACTCTCCATATTCTTTGGTGACACTGCTAGTCTCCATATTCTATGGTGACACTGCTATGTACTCCATATTCTATGGTGACACTGCTACACTCTCCATATTCTATGGTGACACTGCTAGTCTCCATATTCTATGGTGACACTGCTACACTCTCCATATTCTATGGTGACACTGCTACACTCTCCATATTCTTTGGTGACACTGCTAGTCTCCATATTCTATGGTGACACTGCTATGTACTCCATATTCTATGGTGACACTGCTACACTCTCCATACTCTAAGGTGACACTGCTACACTCTCCATATTCTATGGTGACACTGCTACACTCCATATTCTATGGTGACACTGTTACACTCTCCATATTCTATGGTGACACTGCTATGTACTCCATCATGGAATTACAGAAGTTTTGTTCTTTTCTTTCTAGTTGGACAATGCCAGAATTGCTGCATCCAAATCTTCTCCTATGATGGATACCATCAATTTTGTGAGTATTATGTTGTATACATTGTGTGCTAGATCTAGATGTGTTTGTAATAAACTACAACTTGTTATGTTCTTTCCTTCATAGTGTGTGCAATATATAGATGGGACTGTATTAACTGAATTAGTACCAAGGATAACAGATTTAATAAGAAGTGGAATTGGTGTTGGAACAAAAGTGAGTTTATTGTCCCATTATACAGACTACCCTCTAAGCCATGTTCTAGAAACAAGAAATTCTACCAAGCAATTTGTGATTGGTATACATTACATATACATTTTAATAGCTGTTGAGCAAACTGGATTTGTTATCAGAACACATATTATGTAATCTGAATTGTTTGAAGGAATATTTATTGGTGTTACAGAAATGTAGAAATTTACTTAAAAAATACACCCTTTTTATATTCAAATTAATTTTTAATACTTTTATGATTTCAATTATTGAACCTGATACATAGACGCTGGAAGATATGTTGAAATCAGTTTGCATAATACCTGGGTAATCAGGA